GCTTTGTTCGGTAGCCAACAAACCCGGGAGCAATCCAGACAAAAGATGTGGGCCTCGAGGGCAAGCCAGACTTATATTTTAGCCTTAGGAGCAATCCAAATATGAGCTGAGGGCCCGATAGGCATGCCAGACTCATACTGTGGGCTCAGGGATAATCCAAACTTTTATTTGTGGACCTAGTATATGTTGTTATATATATATATATATATATATATATATATATATATATATATATATATATATATATATATATGTGTGTGTGTGTGTGTGTGTGTGTGTGTGTTGGTACTTTGGGGAAACTCACTAAGCTTTGGCTTACAGTTTTTAGTTTATCGTTTCAGGTATTTTTGAGGATCGTGGGAAGGCAAAGGCGTGATCGTACACAGCTTCGTGTTCTATGTCACTAGGTCTTGGGAAAACTCTGATTTGAAATAATGCTTTTGAAACAATGACTCTTTTTGTAAACAATGTTGATTAATGGTTGATTTTAAAAATTTTAAATTTCTTTGAATTTTGGTGCGTTACATTCTACAACCTCTTTATTGTTTAACTATTGAATAATTATAGCTCAGCCCTTTTACCTTTAATTAATTATAATTAACCTACAATAAATTCTAAAGTAATTTTGATTAATTCTTAATTAATTATTACTATTTCTATTTAATATATTAATCATATAATATATTAACAAATCATATATCTCTCTCTTATAATCAATCCAAGCCATTTCTTGGTTATGAGGGCAACCCAAAAAGGACTTTACTTTTATTCTTCAACATTATACCATTTAGTTAAGACCTTAGACACCGTAATCCGATAAAAACTCACCTGAGCTAAATAGGAGAAGCTCGCCAGCAACCCCAACACAGAAACAGCTAACACAAGCCACCTAATGACAACCAAGACCAGTCCTTAGACAAATACTCAGTTCTATCAAAGGTTGACCAAAAATCAAACTGGTTAAAAAGTTAACTCTCTGGTCAACAAGCGCATCGTGCTCTCCACTAGGCACCCCGCGCCCACTACAAGATAAATTAGTCGGGATCCAGCTCAAAATCTGACGCGTTTCAAGATAAATAGAAAAGTGTGACGTGCCTAAAATTCACGCACGGCATCCAACCCTTTCTCAAAAGTGATTTTGACTTATTCCATTAAGTCAAGCCTCCAACTTTTCAGATCTCATTCTTAATAGCTTCTTAATAGATAAAGTTTCCAACTTTAATCATTAGGATTGTCCAAACAACCAAGCTATAAACTTTAAGTCTCTAAAAATCCAAGAATGCATCTTTCTTCATGCAAGAAGAAAAAGAGAGCATGCAATCACCCAAAGCTCCACTCAAAAGGTCATATATGAAGTCTCAAATGATTGAAAGACCATGGAGTTTTCCAAACTCCATAGATCAAGCCAAGAAGGGATCAAAACATCAATAAAATGGACCAAAACACTAATACGTCCTATATCTAAAGATGAGAGTCAATAAAGCATGGGTCTTTATGACTTACCCATGTCCAGAAGTATGGAGAAGGCAAGGATCTTCAAGATCCAAACTCCCAAGCACCATATTTCTTGATTTCTTCACCAAAACACCCAAAACAAGCACCAAGAGGTTCAAGGAGAGAGGATAAGCTCATAATACTCAAGAAGGCTAAGGTTTCTTACAAGGAACGTTGTAGGACTGAGGAAGGCTGAGAAATGACAAACCCTAAGGGTTAATGGCCTTTAAATACCCCAAAACCCTAAAAGCATGATCATCCTATGGGTCGGAAGTGCGTCACGCCTTTTAAAGGGTGCGTCGCATCCCTTCTGACAAATCCAGATTTTCAGATTTCAGCAATTGCGATAAATGGCTTTCTGCTTCACCCCATCCTTCCACTATCCTTTGAACTATAAAACCCCAACTAAAGAATGTAAAAACACCATCGGGATTAGGGTGTTACAAAATACCACTAACCGGTTTCGGTTTAGCTTTTCAATTAAAAAGTTCATCCCTAGCTCCCCAGACGGGTTAAACCGATCTTTGTTGTTATTTTAGGGCTAGGTCTTATCCCTTTGCTTCTTTGGATGATCTTTGGAAAATCAAGTTCATTATTTCTTCTTTTGTTTAGTTTATAACCGATTTGTAACACCATATTTGTTTTGTGTTGATATATATATATATATATATATATATATATATATATATATATATATATATATATATATATATATATATATATATATATGGTTTTCAAAAATATCAAGTTTAGTCCCTAAGTTCAAAAAACCTCACAGATAGTCCCTGTGGTTTCAAAACTTTTAACAAATGGTCCTTTTCGCTAACTCCGTTAGCTTTTGGCCGTTAAGTGAAGGGTATTTCCGTCATTTCACAAAAGAGGGACCATTTATGAAGTTTTTTTTTATTTAAAAAAATATAATTATTTAATAAAGGGTCCCACCCTCTCTCTCTCTCTCTCTCTCTCTCTTGAAGCCACAGCTCAGGAAAGATGGAAAAACAGGATGTCGGCCTCTCCATCTCCGATTCTCGACTGTTCCAGCCCCATCTCCATCCTTGTTTCGTTAATTCAACACCCACCACCTGCTTGTTGTATTTTCAAGTACCATCGACACCGAAAACAGCCTCCTAGGAAGGCTTAAACTGCTGAGAAACTGTGACGAGAAAAGCACCGTCAGCTCTCCCTTAGACGACCAAAAGCAGCCTCGAACACCCCCTCATTCCCTTGACCGACAAATGTTGCTACTGTCTCCCTTCTGTCGGGTTACGGCCGGCGATGAGGCAAAATGAAAGAAGGAAACCGTCGGAGCAGACATGTACAACCGACGCCCCCTCCCCCCTTTCTCACGATCGCCAGCCACATGACCACCATTTTGACTGCCTTCGATCGCCTGATGCCTTCTCGATCTAATGAAGACGAAGATGAAGACCGAGGTCCCTTTCTCAGTCCCACCTTGTGATCTGCTGGAACCTCAATAGTACCCTCGATTTTTGATTGCTTCCATTCGTGTTCTTCCCCAATCAGACGAAGAAGACGCACCATCTCCCTTTTGCATTTGAGTTCATCGACGAAGTGAAGATCCAGTTTAAGATGGGTTCTTTTGAGAGAGAGAGAGAGAGAGAGAGAGAGAGGGTGGGACCCTTTATTAAATAATTATATTTTTTTAAATAAGAAAAAACTTCATAAATGGTCCCTCTTTTGTGAAATGACGAAAATACCCTTCACTTAACGGCCAAAAGCTAACGGAGTTAGAGAAAAGGACCATTTGTTAAAAGTTTTGAAACCACAGGGACCATCTGTGAGGTTTTTTGAACTTAGGGACTAAACTTGATATTTTTGAAAACCACAGGGACCATTTTTGAAGTTTTGTCTATATATATATATATATATATATATATATATATATATATATATATATATATATATATATATATATATATATATATATATATATATATATATATAAGTCGTGAGTTTCTTTATGTGGATGTACAACATTTCATTAATGATGGAGTCGTAGTATATTTTATTGTATATTTCCCCATCTTAGTTTGCTATCCATATATTTTTTTGGGTTTTATACTTGTTTATCATACCATGTATTTGATATTTTGTCATGTATGTTTTGCATCGGTCGAAATATATCTGGATTGCTCCGGTAATAGTTTGGATTAGTCACACAATCCCAAAGAGGGGGTGGTAGAGCATCTAGATTATCATCTGAGTGCATGTGGGTGTTTTCTTGTTCTAGGGGTTTCTAATTTGTGATGCGTGTCAAGTGGTGGCTAAAATGTATGACCTTTTTAGGGCAATATTTTGGCTAGCGAATCGAGATCATTGTACGTTAATGGCTTGTATGTCATTTCAGACTCTACTCTTCATATTGAAAAGTGAAATGAGGGTGGTGACGCCGGTATATGGCAATGAAAGATGAAACTTGTGTTTGACCACTAACCAATGTCATTCTGTTGTATTTGCTCTTATTTTTAACCATGTGTGCCACCATAAGAGCTTAAGTAGATAAAACAATGGGCATTGAGTTGTCTATGGTTAGCCATAGGAGAGTATGTAACCGACTAGACTTATACAAAGATTATTGTCAAGTGGCAAGGATATTTGGTATAAGCTCGTGAGGACCTCACTAACTAATAAACTAGTAGTTTTTTAGAATGGCTAACTCACACACCCTTTAATCCTAATCTAAATCTATTTTTTTTTCCATCAAGAGACTTAAACCCTCAATCACTTAGATTAAAGACATATTTCCAATAAATTTTATACCACTATCCATTTGTTAATAAGCTAGTTCTTATAAAGTCCAATATGATGTGGAGGAAGGGTAAACTCCAAGATAGACTATGTCTGATCAAAGTGATACACTAACGGTCTCGATACTACTAGAACATTTACGTGGGGATATATAATATCCATCTAAAACAATAATCAAGGAATAAAGAATATCTTTTTAATCACTTCACACTAATAATTAAAGGGTAAAAATTCTTTCATGGTCTGTTTACCAAATTTTTAATGGAACAGTACAGAACTTAAGTACTATTCAAATAATTCAGACTAATCATTGAAATTTGATGGTTAAAAAATAATATCGTATCAGTTTATCTTAAAAAAATGTTATATATGATTTAACAAATTCATGTAACTATTATTTAATATGATTAAAACAATTATTAAGAAGACCAAATCCTAATAACATGCGGATCATAATAATATTATTGATATCTTATAATAATTTTTAACCCATAAATAATAAATTTTTAATAAATATATTACAAAAATAAGTAATATCGACAAAATTGGAATGTTTTTGGTTTCTGGTTTTTGGGTGGTTCAGAGAAACAGAGGGTGGCCTTATAAATTCACTTGCTCGCTCAATCACAACCGGTAGACAACAGTGAGCAGACATCCTCTCACCCTTCAATAAATTCACCACCATTTTTGAACTCAGTACCCAAATCTAACATAACCCTTATTACAAACTGAAGAAGATGATGGTAGTTGAGTCGATTGAGAATCAGGATGCGATCGGTGATGGTGGTGCTGAATGTAACAGTACATCTTTTGAACAGGAAGCTTTGATCGATAGTAATGGCATTTCCTTTCATCGAACAGTTGGTGTGCTCCACATTGCTCTTAATCGAGTGGTAGGTTTTCCTATTTCAACATTTATTAAAACAAATCATGCTCGCATAGTCGCATTATTGTTATTTTTTATTACAGAAAACAAACAACACTTCGATTTGCACGCTACATGAGCTGTTATAAAAACTTTTGGCGAACAATTTCCGTATTGAGTTTATCAGATGCATTTTGACAAATTGGATGAATTGATTGAAGTTTTTTTGGTTGATTGCAGAGTAAGTGGTGTATTCTTGTAAGCTTTGGCGGATTCATTCTCTTGAGAGATGATAATCAAGCACTATGGGCTGTTCTAGGTTCTGTTTTAAACGTCGTTTTATCATTCACTCTGAAGAAGATTATAAATCAAGAACGACCTGTTTCTGAAGTGTGTTGTGGCCCTGGAATGCCATCTTCACATGCTCAATCCATTTCGTTTGCCACCATATTCATGATTCTTTCAAGTAATTAACCCTTTTTTCCATACTTTTCCTCTTTAAAATTCATCACATTATTTCCCTCATGAACAATGCGAACAGCTTTAGATTTTGTTCATGATTTAAAAAATTCTAAATTTTGATCTTGCAATGTCTTATATCTTTTTTTTTATTCTCGTTGACACAGTCGTTGGATGGGTGGGATTCAACGGATATTCAGCTATTCTCAGTGGGCTCATTATAGCAGTTGGTGTATATTTTGTAAGTATACAAGCCCCTTCATCTATGACATGGCCAATAAGTTACATTTTGAATTTTGGGTTTACACTGAATTATCCAAGAATGTGACTACAGCTTTGTTTTCCATTTTTTCAAACGTTATAGGCCGAGCATTGATGTATAAAGTTGTTATGATGAATATTTTGTCATAACAGCTTTATGTCAGCTATACACAGTCTATAATAAATTGATGACGTCTTTCAAATGCTAAAAGTTTAGCACATATTCCTTCGTTGTGCTTATGTTGTATCATTTTTGTATGCAGACATGGCTACGTGTTCTATTACGTTATCACACTACCAGCCAAGTGGTCGTGGGGGCAATTGTGGGCTCTATATTCTCTATCGTATGGTTTTCCACATGCGATATTATGGTCCTAAATGCATTGTCGTATGTAATACATGAATTAAGAAGATGCGTATTTATTAGCTAAAATGTTGTTGTTACTATTAATATTATTGTTGTTGTTATTGTAAAGATAGAATGTTTAGCATCCAAAATAGCTAACGTATTGTTATAAGATACAACAAAGATAGAAATTTTGTATCAAGAGAATCCACAATGGCTAACCTATCAATGACATGTTATTTTTTCCATATTATTTTTCCACTAATTTTATTTAACAAAAACTTGTTATTATAATCCTTCCTCAGTCCAAAAGTTTCAAAAGTTTTTTTTATTTTTTCTGAAATAAGTTATCTATCCCCGTCTATTTGAGATGTTATATAAAACTCCTCGTCTAATTTTAGAATTTTAAGTACATTTCGTATATAATATTTTTTTTAATATATTGTAACCATTACCAATCAACATTTCGTATTGGAGATTAAAGTAAAATATAATATAATATAATACTCGGCCAAATAAATTCATTAATCACAAAAATAATGAAAATTTGAAAATTAAATATAATTAGGAGAATGACTTGCTAGATAAAATTGTTACCCAATCATTTTTTTGGGCTAACAAAGAGAGTAGTAGAGTAAAAAAACCGAGAGGTAGGATGGTTTTATAATCTTTTTCAAGCTATTAATTTTAATTATGTAATGGGGTGATCTTTCTAGCTTTTGGCTAGTTTAATAAAAGCTATTGCTTAAAAAAAATATAATAAATACAGTAATATAAAATATTACTAATTGGATGGGATTAATTACAAAAATGTCTTATAAAAAAAACATTATACAAATAAGGGTGGACTATATGGGTTGCAGGTTGAAGAAAAATGAGCAGGTACCGTCGGTACTTCCATGAACACAGTTACGACCACGGTGTTGGGAGGAAATAGGGTTTATGTTGGAGATCTGGATACCCATTGGATCGTGTAAACACTTTCCGAATTTATATATCTACCTTTTGTCTGGGTAGCAAGAAATTCAGCTTAGGATAATCTAATAGGACACTTACGAATCTAGGCATAGAAATCGTAAACAAAATTGCTAGAAGAATTCTATGTTCGTTTGAAGAAAAAGAGAGCTAATGGTTTTTTTTGTGTCTTCTCAAAGAGAAGAGTCGTTTATATATAATAAACGAGATTATCGTTTGCCTCTTAGGGTTGGCCGTCATGGGTTGCTTTGGAAGCAATCTTGGAAATCTGGAATTTAATGAGGATTTAGGGTTTCTAAAACTAACGAATTTTGTTAGTTTTACCGTAATCACCCTCAAGAATTCGATTTAGGGACCCAGTCAGGGGTTCTGCCCCTTGGACCCTGCTAGGGGCGCTGCCCCCGGACCCCCGACTTGTTGTCGAACCGGCTTTAGTTCGATCATATATACATGTGTGCACTCCACAGATACCCGTACATATATTAGAGTACAAATTATGAAGTCTCTTAGCTCACATGTTAGTTCCAATTAAATAAAATGACATGGTGACACTAAAATCATCAACACAAGATGGTACCTTACAATTCAACGAGTTATGTAATCTGCTTCATTTTTCTCTCTTTAGACTCTCTTTCTACCTTTCACGCTTTGTTTACTTGTACATCATGCATTAATACTTATATTAAATTAGGTTTGTATGTTTTTAATTAGGTTTGTATGGCTTTAATATTTAAGTTAATTAATTTTATATGATTTATTTAGTTTGTATTTATTTTAAAATAAAAAAAATAAGTGTGTTTGGATGATGAAAAAGATGAGTTTACATATATTGATAGAAGAGTTGGAAGTGAGATAAAATAATAATAATAATAATAATAATAATAATAATAATAATAAATAATAAAAATAAAAAATTGATATCATAAGTGGGTTGAGAGGATGGATACCTTCCACCCTAATAAATAGTAAATTTTTTTATCAACAAATCTAATCTACGATAATTATATCTATGTCATGGACAAAACTTTAACCATTGATCTTAAGATGACAATGTAACATTTGATATTGTTGGGTTAGAAAGTCTTTGATAATAAATAGTTGATTGAAACCAAATATATTATATCCGCTCAAAAATACTCAAAAACACTGATATATATAATTCTAATATAATAACCTTTGAATAACAAAATCAAATAATTTATATAAATATATAATTTCTTAAAAAAAAGTAAGTCTAGTGCTTGTTTAAAATTCAGTATTCTAGTACTTAAAATCTTTGCCGAATACAAAATCCCAAAAGCAATGTTTTAAAAACCGGTTTTTTAGTTGAACCGGTATGGTTACCGGTTCCCGGTTCGACCGTCGGGTGAACCGGTTTCTATATTTTTCATGTTTTTTCCTATTTTCCTACACATACATAAATATATAAATAATGAATTTGATGTTTATAATTTCAAACATTTAAAAATACACATAAAAATAAGTTGTAAATGAATCCAAATACATTAAAATAACACATAACCATAAGTTTTAGTGTTTTACATCAATCCATATACGTCAAAAATAAAATAAAGTATAATACTTAAACGAAATATAGTTTTAGATGAATACAAACACATCAAAAGACTTTATAACATTTACCATATTTTTTATTTAGAGAAAACTAAATAGATTTGAAAAAAAAATGACCAAAATTTATTATGTAAATGGTTCTTTTTCATGTGTTTTTATTCGGTTTAACCGGTTCAACCGGGTTTTTCTAAAAACCGGCCGGTTCAATCCGGTTTAGAAGTCAATGTAAAACTGGTGATAGTTGAACCGTTCCTTCCCCCGGTTCCCGGTCCAACCGGTTCAACCGGCCTGTTCAAACTGGTTTTTAAAACATTGCCCAAAAGTAATATAAGTCGAAGGGAAATTCAGGGTTTCATAAGAAATATTAGTGGCAGCCCACCACCCAAAGTCAACATCACCATGTAACCCACAAGTTCTCAATGCAATGAACCACACATCGAACAATTTATCAATGTCACCTAATTTTTAATTAAGTCCTTTTTCACGCCATCCTTTTGAGTCATTATACTCAATTGCCAACTTCTAAGTTGGTGTTTTAGCTCTTTGAGCTTGTTTCTGAAAACAATGAATTTATTATCACCACACCACTATAAACCCCAATACTTGGCTCAAATGGAAGTCACGACATGTTCAAATCCCTCGAAAGTCATCAGTGAATTTGAACAAATGAAAAGGCGTGGGTCCATAATCCAAATATTATTTTTTTTGAAATAATGTGATTATGATCCAACCACACCCTAGTTAGGTAGTTAATTATGTAGTTGTTAAATTTGTAAATGTATCAAAGATTTCTTTCAAGCAAAACCCGATCTAACTTACTCATTTCCGCAGATTGTCTATTAACACAAGTAAATTTTCTTCCATCCATGGGTACATCACATAAAGCCGAAATTGTCTATTAACACGAGAAAATTTCCGTCTGAACTGTTAATCGATCGTCGGTGTTCTCCGCTTTAATCGATGATGATTTAAAGGTTAGGGTTTTGTTCCTTTTTTCTTTTAACCATCTATTCTTTGAATCTTAGTCTGTTATCAACATCTGTTGTGTTGATCTAAGATTCTGATCGAAATCTTGTAGCTCTAACACCTTTGGTGTTGATCTAGGGTTTAAGTTTTTTGTTCTTTATTTGGTTTTTTAGATCTCGGTTACTGCGAGTTTGTGTTTCCTTTGCAGGCTCGTTGCTTCGGTTATCTGAAATAACTCTGAAGAGAACATAATCATTCTTATCTGATAAACTCGTTTAGAGAACTGAACCAAGAAATTCTGATATTAACCTGAGAGATCTATCGTGTAATTTGATGGTACGTGTCTCTAAGTTTTTTGTTGATTCTTCATTGCGGTTTGTCGAAGACTAAAATCTCTCACTGTATGTCTTCTTTCTCTTTTCTGTCTGTTCAGGCTTGTTCCTGGTAGTCTGTGTTATGATCTTTGTTTGCGTGTCTACTTACGCTCTCTCTGTTGCTTGTTGTTTTACCTTGAGGTTGTGTTACAGATCTTAGTTCACCATTTCTTTGGCTAAATTTTCTAATTCTGCAACTCAGTTTCTCTATTTTTTGTGAGTGTTCTCTTTTATTGGTTCTTGATTGTTATTCATGACTGCTGGTGAGACTCTTGGTGGATCAGGGACGAAGTCCACTGAAACACCAGATGTTGATGATTCGTTGTATATTCATCCTACTGATACAGTTACTGGAACTATTATCTCTTTCAAATTACTTGGAACTGAAAACTTTAGAGTTTGGAAAAGTGCTATGACTAGGGCTTTAAAAGCCAAAAATAAACTTGGATTTGTTGATGGAACTGTTAAGAAAATTGAAAATGATCCCATTAAGTCTCTTAAGTGGGAAAGAGCCAATGATGTCGTGTGTTCTTGGTTACTTGGATCTATTTCAGAGACCATTTATGCAGGACATGTAGGCTCTGAAAAGGCTATTGAAATTTGGAATGAATTGAATGAAACTTATTTTAAATGTGATGGATCTGTTATTTTCAATATTCATCAAAAAATTAACTCACTAACTCAAAGTGGATTGTCTGTTTCAGACTACTATAACAAACTTGATTCCTTATGGAAGGAATTTGATGGGTTAACAAACTTAACTGAATGTGTTTGTGCTGCCTCTACCCCACTGATTAATCACTCTAAACTTATGAAACTCATGCAGTTTCTAAGTGGTCTTGATGATTGTTACAATCAAGTCAAAAGTCATATTCTTTTAACTAGATCTTCTTCCAAATGTTAGAAATGCTTTTGCAATTATTTTGAGAGAAGAATCTTTTCAGAAAAATGGTTCTATGTCCAATACTTCCAATAACAGCAAATCTCAAACAACTGTTGTTTTTAATAGTAAACTCAATGATAATAAAAGGAACAGAGGTCCTAATCAAGGACTTCAATGTAAACATTGTGGCATAAAAGGTCATACTATAGAAAAATGTTACAAGCTTTTGGGCTATCCCAAAGATTTTAAACCCAGAAATAGTGGTAATAGGTTTTCTAATAACCATAACAACAATATTTTTTCTAATCAAAATAGTTCTGAAAGATCCTTCTCTGGGAACAATGTTGTTTCTCCTAACACTGAT